AATCGTTAAAAGCGGCAATTATTCGTTCAAAGTCCACTTATGTTATTCTGTGTGCTTAAGATGCTTTTTTTTTCTTTTTACATGTTATCTTAAGGATTTTTCCATTGTTTTAATTTTAGTTTTAGTAAAACACTATAATACCATTTATATTTTTACTTTTTTTATAATTTAAAGAAGAAACCAATCCGATGTATAGTTGACATTTGAAATTTTCATTAGCATGAAAACAGCCCTATTCCTACTTCAAATAGTTTTTTAAAATATAAACATTTAAATGGTGGCTGTCATAAAATATAAATGAAACATTGAAGAACAGTAAAAGTTATAATAAATATATTATATGATGCATATATTTAGCAAAATGCTCCTCTCTACAGTTTATTTTTCTAGCTGACTAATGAGATTATGGTCACCGAATATGTTTTCTTCTGAGGTAAATATGACGTTACGTGACACTGCTTACAAGCCGTTATATTGACGTCTTTGCGCAGCTGAAACACTAATTGAGCGAATACATGAGACAGGATATGGATTGTAAAGTTGTACTCTTTCTTTTAACTTACCTTCAGATGTTTAGTCATGTTTATTTTGTGCTGAAACTGGTATTCATGTGGAGGAGATGATCAGTTCATGTGCGCCTCTCTGTTGAACTGAGGCGCTACAGCGATCGGTCACTCCACATTAAACCGTGCCAAAACGGCATTTATTGTTTGAATACTGCAATACAATGAACATAATTTGAAATCTGAGACTTTGTTTCATATTAAAAGTACCAAAGCACAATGCTTATTGCGATTTATTGGATTCTTGGGATTTAAGAATCTACATCGTTTTGTAAAAATGAGAATTGATTATAATCGAGATATCGATATTTTTTACCCAGCCCTAATTTTCAGGTGTTTTCTATATGCAGGGTTTCTGTGGGTCTTAAAATCTTAATTTGCCCTTCCACAAATTTAAGGGACAGTTCACCCCAAAATTTTAATTGTCAAGTTATTCCAGTTTCCAGAATGTCTTTCTTCTGCTGAATAAAATTAAAATATTTTGAAGAAAGTTGGTAACCAAACAGTTGACGGTAGCCATTAACTTTATGGGAAAATATATGGAAGTCAATGCTACTGTCACTATCTCTATAAGTCTTTAAAAAGTCTTGCATCAGAGCAGAAAGTCTTAACATTTAATTCCATTACTTAATGAATTTGTCTTCCTCTGTATTTTTGTTTTTTTATACAAATATCTAAATATCTGTATCAAGACATACATTACTTAAGATGCAAAAGTAAAATGAAGTCTTTAAAAATTGAACATAATTTAGTTAATCTAAAAACAAGAACACATATGTGAATGGGGTATTAAAATGCTTTCCCTTTTAATTCATTTGATTGGCAGACACTTGTTACATTTTGATCAATTCCACAGAAAACAAGACGACGACTTTTATGTAATTTCATTTTGCTTCTCAAGTAAATGTATCATTTGACATTTGCACTGGAAAACAAGACAAAAATACTGAGGAAGAACATCACTTTTTTTTTTTGCAGTGTGTTCAGTGTGAAGTACAAGAAGTTATTTTCATGTAGTGGTTGGGAACCACTATATTCAAGCCTTAGCTTTTTTTTTTTTATTAATGGGGATGGCTTGGAAATGTTGCTAATACAAATGACTGTTCCCTTCAACAATTATTCGTTCAAAGTCCACTTATGTTATTCTGTGTGCTTAAGATGCTTTTTTTTTCTTTTTACATGTTATCTTAAGGATTTTTCCATTGTTTTAATTTTAGTTTTAGTAAAACACTATAATACCATTTATATTTTTACTTTTTTTATAATTTAAAGAAGAAACCAATCCGATGTATAGTTGACATTTGAAATTTTCATTAGCATGAAAACAGCCCTATTCCTACTTCAAATAGTTTTTTAAAATATAAACATTTAAATGGTGGCTGTCATAAAATATAAATGAAACATTGAAGAACAGTAAAAGTTATAATAAATATATTATATGATGCATATATTTAGCTAAATGCTCCTCTCTACAGTTTATTTTTCTAGCTGACTAATGAGATTATGGTCACCGAATATGTTTTCTTCTGAGGTAAATATGACGTTACGTGACACTGCTTACAAGCCGTTATATTGACGTCTTTGCGCAGCTGAAACACTAATTGAGCGAATACATGAGACAGGATATGGATTGTAAAGTTGTACTCTTTCTTTTAACTTACCTTCAGATGTTTAGTCATGTTTATTTTGTGCTGAAACTGGTATTCATGTGGAGGAGATGATCAGTTCATGTGCGCCTCTCTGTTGAACTGAGGCGCTACAGCGATCGGTCACTCCACATTAAACCGTGCCAAAACGGCATTTATTGTTTGAATACTGCAATACAATGAACATAATTTGAAATCTGAGACTTTGTTTCATATTAAAAGTACCAAAGCACAATGCTTATTGCGATTTATTGGATTCTTGGGATTTAAGAATCTACATCGTTTTGTAAAAATGAGAATTGATTATAATCGAGATATCGATATTTTTTACCCAGCCCTAATTTTCAGGTGTTTTCTATATGCAGGGTTTCTGTGGGTCTTAAAATCTTAATTTGCCCTTCCACAAATTTAAGGGACAGTTCACCCCAAAATTTTAATTGTCAAGTTATTCCAGTTTCCAGAATGTCTTTCTTCTGCTGAATAAAATTAAAATATTTTGAAGAAAGTTGGTAACCAAACAGTTGACGGTAGCCATTAACTTTATGGGAAAATATATGGAAGTCAATGCTACTGTCACTATCTCTATAAGTCTTTAAAAAGTCTTGCATCAGAGCAGAAAGTCTTAACATTTAATTCCATTACTTAATGAATTTGTCTTCCTCTGTATTTTTGTTTTTTTATACAAATATCTAAATATCTGTATCAAGACATACATTACTTAAGATGCAAAAGTAAAATGAAGTCTTTAAAAATTGAACATAATTTAGTTAATCTAAAAACAAGAACACATATGTGAATGGGGTATTAAAATGCTTTCCCTTTTAATTCATTTGATTGGCAGACACTTGTTACATTTTGATCAATTCCACAGAAAACAAGACGACGACTTTTATGTAATTTCATTTTGCTTCTCAAGTAAATGTATCATTTGACATTTGCACTGGAAAACAAGACAAAAATACTGAGGAAGAACATCACTTTTTTTTTTTGCAGTGTGTTCAGTGTGAAGTACAAGAAGTTATTTTCATGTAGTGGTTGGGAACCACTATATTCAAGCCTTAGCTTTTTTTTTTTTAGTAATGGGGATGGCTTGGAAATGTTGCTAATACAAATGACTGTTCCCTTCAAATTTTTCCTTACATTTTCTTTACTTAGTCTTAAAAAGGCTCTTAAATTTACCTGCAAACCTGACACAGTTTTTTGACCTTACTTGCTTTTCCCCATTATTGTGTTATCAGCCATTTCAGATAAACCAGACCTAAATGACACGTAATAACAAAACAAGCTGTGGTTGAGTGCATTAGATGCTGGTCTCTTCATGTCTAATTGGGTTCCTCTTTACCGGAATAAGCTGCACAGTGGATCACACTATATGCTGATATATTGAGGCTGCTAGTACAATGTGCCAAACACTGTTTAACACATACAAACACATTTATTAAATATGAAAGACTTTGTGTACAAAGGGGTTGTACTATCATTAAAATAGCTTTATCCTTCACTACCCAGTATTTAGTCAAATACTATATTCAAAGTATGTGATGTGATGTAATAGTTAGTGATGTAATCTCGGAGTCATATCTAGTTTGACTCAGACACATTTGACTAGCCCGATCATGTCCGGATTGTCTGCTAATTGATAGTGTGTCCTATTCTCTACTATCTCTCATCATTGAAAGCAAGCCGTTTCACACTGAGTTCCATATTGTTGCGATTTTAATGGAGTTATGTTTTTATATATTTTATGTAATTATTTATTGTATAGTATTATACTGTAGGATTTCACATTATTACTCCTTAGTTGAACTTATTTTGAAGGAGCATACAGGTGTGATTTGCTGGTTCCTTTTATGCATTCATTTAGCTGAATTAATTAAAAAAAGGTTGGTGACGCTAAGTGCACTCCCTTGTATACTAAGCTGCAATTTATTGGTTTGTGCTGTATCTTTTATGAGGTTAAAGATGATGAACAAAACCATGAACCTAAATTTTTATAGGAGCTTTATCCCACATTCTTCTGGAAAGATTATTCGCAACAGCCTCTACTTTACATCAATGGATATTTAGAGCCTCTTATCAACTTGCTAATTGTATATTTTAGTGTTATAAATGTCTGTATGAACAATTCTAATTAACTAACACATTTGAATGTATTTTAACATGCTGCTTAACCTCTCTGTAATTCTGTCTTTGTCTAAGCTGTCTGCTAAAGTTAAATGCTTTGCAATATACATCACTGAATTTGAAGCATTAATAGGTCACATTAAACAGTGCTATAGAGTGAGTTTTGACATTTAAATATTTTAACATCTCCCACTTCCTGTTGCCGTCCCCACAAGGCTGGGGTTTGACTATTATGTTAGCGTATACAAACTGACATAGTACTAACATGAAGATTGATTGTTCTTCTATTTTCCTCATTAAACCTTTTTTTTATTTTTTTATTTTTTTTTTTATCTTGGTACAATCTGTTTTTTTAAAGGGATAGTTCACTGAAAAATGAAATCATTTACTCACCCTCATGTTGTTCCAAACCTGTAGTTATTTTATAATGAAAATCAATGGTGACCAGAACTGTTTGGTTGCAAATGTTCCTCAAAATATCTTCTTTTGTTTTGCAAAGAAGAATGAAAGTCATGCATGTTTGGGTAAGGGTATGTAACTTATGACAGGATTTAAATTTTGGGGTGAACTATGCGGATAGCTCTGAAATGCCAACTGATAATGTCATCATTACACTTACAACTTCCGTGTACGGTTTTATTAATCTGATTTCATTTATCTGTTTCAGGTAGAGAAATTTCTGATGTGGCAGCTTAATGCCAACTCGACGTAAAACCATAAATCCCTTCTGTAAAACATGGTGAGAGGGGCTCTTGAAACCGATGAGCTGACCAGGCAACACTGCTGCCACTATAGAGCAATCTAACTAACGTGAACGTGATGGGGATGATGATATTACACACAGCAATGATGGAACAGCCGCATTGACAAAGATTAACTGCACTCACTCTCAGTGCGCTGCTGCCAATCAGCATGCTGCGGATACTGTCGCTCAAATTTGGCCGCGTCTACCGGTGCGGCAAGTTCCTCTTCATCGTAGCTCTTTTTGTGATCCTGCTGATGAACACTCACAACCTCTTTGCCTCTTTCCAGAGGAATGAGCTCACCGACCGGCGATTCATCGGCCTCAACAAGTGTCCGGCCTGCTTTGGTACTAGCTGGTGCCGCAAGTTCATGAACGGCCAGGTGACCTTCGAGATGTGGGGTCGCCTGCGCTTCCTAGACTTTTTCAACGTAAAGAACGTTTATTTCGCTCAATACGGAGAACCCAGGGAAGGAACGCGCAGGGTCGTGCTCAAACGCCTGGGCTCCAACCAAGAGCTCGCAGAGATCGATCAGAAGATCTGCAAACGGGCCACTGGAAGACCTCGCTGTGATCTAATTCAGGGTATGTACAAAACGGAGTTCGCCCGGCTTAACGGGGACGTAAGGCTGCTGACCCCAGAGGTGGTGGAGGGCTGGTCGGATCTGGTGCACTGCCCCTCGCAGAGGCTTCTGGACCGGGTGGTCAGGAGGTACGCGGAGACCAAGGACTCTGGAAGCTTCCTGTTGAAGAACCTTAAGGACACGGAACGAATGCAGCTGCTGATGACGTTGGCGTTCAACCCTGAGCCGCTTGTGCTGCAGGTATCCACACACTAGCCGATACAAATATATCCTTTAAATGCATTTCAAGTTGCTGAAGCACTGTGTCTGATGCCCGCTTGGGAGTTAAAGGGATTAACGATGCATCTTTGCATATTTTAAAGTTCTGCACAAGGCTATGTAAATAATAGATACGTTGTGTCTGTCGGTGGTCACTTAGAGATTTCTCTGCTTTGGGCAACAGCGTGCTTGTCATGAAGAGTTCCTTCAGACATAAATCATAAAGCATTTGTTATTCCATAAGCAAAGTTTAAAAACACAGAGGTGGCGTATTGTTTCGAAAGTTTTGTCCAAAACTTGTTTTCAGTATGAGAAACGTTTTCCACTTAAGGGTGTATAATATTGACAAAAAAATGTGTGGTGGTTAGTTCACAGCAGTGACAAAAATGAACTTTCCCCATTAAGGACTGATATTTACGGACTGGCCCAGTTGTGCACAACAAGTTTTAGACTACACAATGAAATCGCCGCAACACAACATAAATGGTCCTATGCTTGGACACAAATGGGGCCTACATGTTTGCTACTTACTGACACATCAAGCTTCTCTTTAATAAATGCAGCACTTTGTCTTTTTAAGTGCTTTTAGAATTGAATGAGGCAAGGGATTTAATGCAGGGACTAATGATCTAACGAAATCCAAATATTGATATCCAATATATTTTTCTGAACCCTTTAAGTTTCTATGGGACAATATAAATCAGGCCATTTCACAATGCTCTTTCTATATATATTGTCTATTTATACTGTCTGGTTGGGCCACACAAAATTAAAAATGACGCCCGCCATGTAACAGCTGAAGTGGGGTTGAGAGTAAGGCACATAGAAGTACCATTTGATGCAATTTACTTTCAGTGAAGAAAATGCACTCTACGTTACAATTGAATCCTCTTACTGTAAATTAATACTGAGGTGAGGAGGTAATTTTTACCATACCTATACCATACCATACCACTTTTTTGTGGATTCTTATCGTTGAATTCATATCACAATGCTGTTTCTTGGAGCCACATAAACGATGCTTTAAAGCTAAAATGTGGGATTTGTACTAGAGTTAATGGTCTAACAGTATTACTAATTTTAAAACCGCTTTTACTGCACCAGGCATTTAAATGACACTTTAAATATGCATAGCTATATAAATGACTTGGTTTATAATATATATTTATATATATATATAATTTACACAGCATTTGCAATTCTATAGCTTGCGCTGCTTTTCCATTGTTTTTTTCTATGTAAACAAGGACGCATCTGACTGTTGCACTCTCATCTCTAGCAGCGTCTCATGCATGAAACGGCAGTCTAAAAACGTGGCGCTCAAGTTAAAAGAAGTTCACTCCCATCCTCTTGCATGTATTTCCTATTCCACTGCTCACATCGCATATTTGTCAACACGAAAGTGCATTCTGTGTGAATGGCACCTAGGGATATGAGCACGTCACATGTGAGCAGTTAATCACGTGCGCCAGCATGCGGTTGGATCGTTATTTTCTCTTTACTGTTGTCACCTATTGTCGAAGTGTCTAATTCTAACGTTTGGTAATATTTCTATTCAAATTGTGATTCCTTGATTTCTAAAAAATAAAATCGTGGCAAAACATGAAATTCAAATTAATTGATAAAATCGGAAAAATCGCCTAGCCCTAACACACGCTAAAATCATTTCACCAAGTTTTATGTCAAAAACAGTGAAAGTGACATACTCAGAAATGTCAGCTGTGTTCCCAGGTGGAAAAAAAGTGCACTTCCATAATGTACTTTAAGTGCTCTATTTTCACTCACTAATATTGTACTTAATATTAGAGATGCACCGATTGCAATTTTCTTGGCCGATACCGATTTTTGCCGATTCCGATTTTCTTTCTAAGAACTATAATTGACAGCATATACAAACAAAAATCTACTTTTCTTCAACGCAAAGTTTTATTTTCATACAAAAAAACACAAGTAAAAAGTCAGTAATAAAATAAGAACAAATAAAAAAAATTGCAAACAACGGCACAAATAAATGCAATTGAATAAAGAGAGCTATGAAACTAAGTTTTTCAGGTTAAGTAAGTTTTATTCAGGTAAGAAATACTACAGAAATTAAAGTAATCAAATGTAAAATAACACATCCAGTGTTATTTTACATTTGATTACTTTAAAGGGGTCATATGATGCTATTTCAATTTTTCCTTTCTCTTTGGAGTGTTACAAGCTCTTGGTGCATAAAGAAGATCTGTAAAGTTGCAAAGACTAAAGTCTCAAATCCAAAGAGATATTCTTTATAAAAGTTAAAAGAGTCAACCACGCCTACCTAAAACGGCTCGTTCTAACACGCCCCCACATGTCTACGTCACGATGTGGGAAGATTTGCATAACGCCACCCAAATGTTCACGCAAAAAAGGAAGGTGTTACACGACCGAAAGCGCGTGTTATGTGACCATTCATGCAAACTGTAGCATCATGCTACATAAGACGATAAATAAGATTTATATTCAGCTTTTATTCAAAACTCACTTTAAACCACCATCGAGTGTTTGTAATAACTTCCGATTGCCGTCTAACAGGGCCGGGTTTAGGCATTGCTCAAGACATTGAGCAAATAAATATAACAAACAATTATAAAAATATAACAAACTATCTCCATGTCTTCCACCTTTTTTTATGTAGGCTACGGAAATCACGCTTTCTTTCTCCCAGCCTCTCTCACAGACGCGCACACAGTGCAGACACGCGGAGACACGAACAGAAACTTGTCAGCGCTGCACCGCAAATTTATCAGTAAAATAGTTTCGCTGCTGAAAAGCTACATGACATTTCTCAGTAGCGAGGTTCATGAAGGAGTTTAACTTAAAGATTCGCTATTAGTAGACACTGCTGAGAGACGCACAGATGCTGGTATTCACACGCACTTAATCTCTCTCTCTCCCTTTCGCTAATAGCCGCATTAGACTGCATTAATAACTGCGCAAGCATGCATATCAATGGCTCAAGCCTCTGTTATCAGCTCTAAAAGGACGTTTTGGAATTTGCAACGGAAGGTTTGGGATGAGGTGCGTAAAAAAATTTGTTCAACCCACACGAGATTTCAGGACGGATTAAGAACTATTTGATTTTTATTGACAAAGCAAACGCTTATTCCGATAGAAAACACTGTATCGGTTTCCACTGATTAAGAAATATTTTTGTTTGCTTGGGTGGTAATATTAGGTCTATTATATTAATAGGGAAGGGGGCCCAAAAATGTGTGTTTTGGCCATGTAATGTAGCTGAAATTAAATATGTTATTACCTCTGAGTCAGAGCAGCGATCATGGAAGAGAGAACACAAGCAGACAGCGCTGGAAGCTGCTAATGCTCATCAGTAAATCAGTGGAAAATAAATAGAAATCATGATTCTGTCTGAGCTATGTGTTTTAAAACGAACACTAACTACTGTAAATGTAGCCTAACAGATGTGTAAACTGAAGACTATTTGAGCTTTATTAAAACTATTTTGCACTGATTTATTGTGTTGGTTACATTTTGTTCCTTTGTGCAGTGGCTCAGGAGATGAGTCTTTGAGTTTGTATAAACATCAACAAGCTGAAGAATAAAAGCAAAGTTTTTGTTTTAGATAATGTAATCTTGTTAAAATTGATTTCATAAAATTGGTATCGAAAAAAGTATAGTTCAGGAACCGGTATCAAAATCAAGGTATCGGTATCGATATCGAAAAATTTTGAACGATACCCAGCCCTATGTATTTGTATGTTTTAGTGCAGTTAGCCACTCGTTTTGGTATTTGTGGCTCACAAGCTGTTTGAGACTGAGCATCGGCTGGTCACCCATCCCGGCCGATCATGAGGAAAATCGTCCGATTCCGATCCCTGGCCGATCGATCGGTCCATCTTTACTTAATATAATAAAAATGATTCTTTAGTACTTTTTAAGATACACATAAGATCAACTAAGTGTACTCAACTGTGCTATTTTGGGACACCATGAATATGAACTAATATGTGCTTTTTACATACTATCTCTGTATTTAAAAAATGTATTTACAGTGCCTTGCAAAAGTATTCATACCCCTTCATTTCTTTCACATTTTGTTATGTTGCTGCCTTAAGTTAAACTGCTTTAAATTACTTTTTTTCCCCACATCAATCTACACTCCATACACCATAATGACAAAGCAAAAACAGAATTGTCACAACTAAATTTATTAAAAATAATAAAACTGAAATAAGTACATTGCATAAGTATACATAAATTCATAAATATTTAGCTGAAGACCCTTAACAGCCTCAAGTCTTTTTGAGTATGATGCGACAAGCTTTGCACATCAACATTTGGCAATTATCTGCCATCCTTCTCATCTCTTCACCTCTCAAGCTCTGTCAGCTTGGATGGGGGCAGATGCACATTTTCAGGTTTCTCCAGAAATATTTGACTGGGTTCAATCCCAGACTCTGGCTGGGCCATCAAGGACATTCACAGAGTTGTCTATAAGCCACTCTTGCTGTGTGCTTAGGGTCATTGTCCTGTTGGAAGGTGAACCTTCTGCCCAGTCTGAGGTTCTGAACGCTCTGGACTGGGTTTTCATTAAGGCTATCTCTATATTTTGCTGCACTGAGCGTTCCTTCTACTCTGACGAGTCCCTCAGTCCCTGCTGCTGAAAAACAGCCCCTCAGCATGAGGCTGCTACCAGCACACTTTACTTTTGGGATGGTACTCTGCAGGTGATGAGCAGAGCTGGTTTCCTTCAAACGTGATGCTTAGAATTGAGGTTCATCAGACCAGAGAATCCTGTTTCTCAGAGTCTGAGGATCCTTTAGGTGCTTTTTTGTAAATTCCAAGTGTGTTTTCATGTGTCTTAACTGAAGAGAGGATTGAGTCTTGCCACATCACCATAAAGCCCAGATCGGTGGAGTGTTGCAGTGATGTTTGTCCTTCTGTAGATCTCTCCTATCCACATATGATCATGGAGCTCAAGTAGAGTGGCCATCAGGTTC